AATCCCACATTATAAATTAGTGGAGAGATAATTGGATTTACATGTTACTTTGGATATGGCTTTAGCCAGTTGTGTTATTGGCAATACATTAACATCCTACACAAAATTAAATGGCATGATGTAAAAACTCAACAATTATTACTGAAATACTAACGATACGGGGGGAAATGGATGCAAAACTGCTTCGAGATAATACTACATCTATGTTAAAGCAAATTAGTAATGGAAAAGCAGAAGACTGCTTGGAGAAAAAAATGTAAGCTTCCTTCTCCCCCAAATAAGGAAATACAAAATGGTTTATTTACAAGACACAGACACTTCATTTGCACTTAGGCTATGTCTAGACTGGTGACAGGACACTAGTCCAATATCGGGATTGTGCCAGAGCCCCCTACTGTCCACATCTAAATCCCTGAAACATGGGTTTCAAGTGTGAACGAGATAAGAACACTAGCACATCTGAGGGTGTGGGTATAAACACTCCTTATGCTGTGGCCCGGCCACATACCCATGTCAGTTTGTCGTGTGGATAGGGGTAAGGGGGCGTGTTCCGTGTCCAATAGTCCTCCAGCTCTGTTCCCACAATGCTCTGAACGCTTTCCTGCCTGACCTTTACCCACATCTGTAAAGGTCCCTGTCCCCCCTGATTCTCACCCATAGTAGCGAGCTGCACTGACCATTTCACAACCAGTTCCTGCTGGCCTCTTTTCCCCAGTACACGTGAACGTAGAACATGCTACACCCAAGAGCTGCCTGGTCAGCCAAACACACCCGGGTCCTGATAAATGGGTGGTCAGACTTCACCCTTCTCCCGCAGCCCCCGGGATCAGGACATTTCAGAGAGGATGGTGCAGACAGGCATGCCCAGAAGGCGAAAGACTCCGGCTCTGGGAGGGGTCCCCCAACATGCCCATTCTTGAAAGAGCTGGCCCGGGTGCTCTCCAAAGCTCCCAGTACCGAGCCTGAGGTGATGCACACCCCCCTCCTCAGCCCCACCAGGCTCATTGTCCAATGGGATGCCGAGGAAGGACAGGGCATGGAGGCAGCAGTGACCCTGGAGGCGGTGGCCCCAGAGGATGAGGAGCACATTATCCTGCACCTCCACCCGGAGGACCCAGCTCAGCCCGCCCTTCCCGATGAGCCAGAGGACAATCCAGACTGAGCGGGAACCTGAACCCAAGGCTGATACGTTCAAATCCCACCCTCCCCACCTACATCCGATCCCTGTTTCTCTGGGGCTGCATGTGGGATGGGAAGGCCACCACACTTCCCTGCCTTTCAATGGTCCCCAACCACAAACTCAACATCTTATTGAATGATCACGAACCACGATAAAGCTGTTGGCAGAAGCTGTGGAACAGCTTATGGGCAAACTCCCCTATTGCACAGGGTCGGTGCGTTTGTCAGCCAACAGGCCGACAGTGAGGGCGGGGGTGGAAAGGTCGGGTTTCAGGACCTTTGCATTGCACAGATATGAATTTTGCATTATAAATAGAGCCCTGAGAAAAATCAGATTTTTTTTTTAAAATCCCAGCAGCATCACAGGTAACGTAGAAAATTTCATGGGAAAGGCACGGAAAGCAGTTGGCAAAAGGTCACTGCCACCGTCCTTTGCAGAAAACCGGCCACTGAGTCTCTTCCCCCGCCCCGGCCAGAATGAAGCAATTTTCCCAACCGCAGAGAGGCAGAAGCCGGCATTTGCATGCATCAGTCTCGTGCTAAGTGCGGCTTGTCGCGCGCAGCAGCGTAGTGTCAGAGTAGCGGTGGGGGAGGGGCGTTGTGAGCCACACCAAGCACGAGTCTAGTGCACCTTTCTACCTCCCTGCTGTTGGGGGGGGGGAGAGAAATCACAGTATTGGGCTAATTTAGTGATTTCTGCCCAGTCCATGAAATCACGATTGTCTCAGAGGCCTAATTATAAACAAAACAATGATGAGCAAGACACGTCGAACCTGAGACAGTATTAGGAGTCACCAGCACTTTCCCCATAATAAAGGTTACAGCATATGTCAATACAAACCTCTCACTGCCCACAGCTGAGTCAGGCTGTCCTTCACCCAGGAGAACAGCTGGGTCTTAGAAACTACAGCGCTAGTCTTCCAACAGACAGTGCACTCCACAGAAGAGCAGTCGCCAAAATCTTCTCCAGTATATAGAATATCAGGGTTGGAAGGGACCTCAGGAGGTCATCTAGTCCCCTGCTCAAAGCAGGACCAATCCCCAGACAGATTTTTACCCCAATTCCCTAAATGCCCCCCTCAAGGATTGAACTCACAACCCTGGGTTTAGCAGGCCAATGCTCAAACCACTGAGCTATCCCTCCCGCCATTATAGATCCCTCCCCATATAGAACAGCCTGCTCAAGCAGCAAATCCCTCACCTGTAGAGTTCCACCGAAGTACTCTGCTAACATCCTTTTCAGCGCCCCTTTCTCTGGTTCTCTTTCTCCAAATATCATGCAAGAGCCAAAAGCGCCTGTCTTATAAAGGCTCCAGACTCCTCCCCTTCCCAGCATGCTTTGCTATAAGGAGCTTGACAGATAGCCCGGTCTTTCCCACTTTTCTCAGGAGAACCAGCCCTCTCTCCACCAACATCTGGAATCCATCCCCCAGGTGAGGACTAAGGTATCACAGGACGTTTCATGGTGTTTTCCTCTGAAACCAAACCACCAATGAATGTTAACAATGGGAGGAAACCGGGCTCCCCTCTCCTTTCTCTCCGGGGCCTCCCAGACAAACAAGAAGGATAAGCTCTGCTTGTTAAAAAGCAGCGCCTGCTTCCCCAGGGCTCATCTTTAACCCTCAGCGCCTGCTCATTCCGTCACAAAACCCTGCTTTTCATCCCCTAGCTATACCTATGGGCCAATGGAATTGGAAATTGGCCTCTAGGGCTAAGATGGCATTTCTCCATCAAGTTTCACAAAGAGCGAGCAGGTGGTCCCGGAGCTGTGCCCCTGCCCACCTCCCCCCTTCCCAAGTAGGAGTTCACGGTTTTTTTGTTTGTTCCTGGAGCCAGTGGGTGGAATGAAGAAGCAGCAAAACAAACCAACCACATGAGCACAGCAAGCTGCACACCCGAGAAGAGCGTAGTAGTAAACACCCAGGCTGTGTGCACCTAGGCCTGATGGAGGCATGCTGAGCCGGTGCTCTGTTCAGAGGCGGATGGCTCACCAACGACTTTACAATGGGCTGTGTCCAGTCGGTACAATCTATCCCCAAAGTTCTTCCTGATTGCTGGGGGTTTCCGTCAGATGCGTTTGCACCGAATGAAGTGTGTGATAAAAAGGGATGTCTTTCAAGACAATTGAGGTGGCTAAATAGGATCTGAGCACTTGGAAGATCAGTGCTCCCAGTTTAAGTTTATCCTCTCTCACAGGATTAAGGCACATCTGTGTGTACACATGTGTGCACGCACACACACACTCTCTCTCTCTCTCTCTCTCTCTCTCTCTAGCATCTTCAAACCATCCAGGCGGTGGAAAGAGGCTAGAAAACAGCTGGATCGGGGCTGTTAAGAATTCCCCACCACGGCATTGGTCTCCGCTCATATCAAACTAACATACCTGGCGCCTACAAAAACTGCACCACCAAGCTCTAGTGTAGGGGGCATGTCAAAGGCCAGGGGGGCTTTGTCTCCTGCATAATTTAAAGGTGCCGTAGGCAGTTCTGCTCTAAGCAGCAGTGAGTGCAAGTACTCCCTGAAAAATCAGAGCTGGAGCTGGCTCTCAGTTGCTCCCAAATCTGCCCCGCGTGGTTCTCAGCAGAGGAGAATCTGGGCCTTTATGTTTTTCCCTGCTTCTTTTATGACAAACTCAGTAAGACATGGAACACAAAACCAGGTTCTTCCTTCTGAAGAATTGGCTTCTTTCCTGATATAACCCATTGGCCCTCCCTTCAGCCAGCTGGCCGGACAAAGGGGCTTCTCGTAAATCTCCCAGGAGGCTGCCAGAAAAAGATGTGTGGCACGGAAGTAGCAGTCACCTCCTTTCTGGAACTTCTGGGAACAAAATGCTTTATTCTGGAGCCTGGCTTTGCTTGAGCACAGTGTTCATTACTGCTGCTGCTCACTTCATGGCTCATGCCTCACCAGTGCATTTTGCATGGGGCTGTTACCTGGTGCCCTTTCAAGTGGATAACTCAGGTCACGGTACATGCAACTTTGATTCTATTTGCTGTGCTCTGCCGCTTTAAATGTAAGAATTCTGCCTCCCGGCGAGGGGCCAAGGCTGTGGCAAGGTTTAAGCTATGGAAGCTTAAAGGGAAGCCATGCTAGTTTGCATCTCATAGGGTGAAATTCACTGTGGTGCTGAGGGCCAGAAGGAGGGTTCTGCACCACAGCAGCCTTGTACGAGCTCTGAGCCACAGTGGATTTCACCTAGGGAGATGCTGGACCTACCTCTCCACCTTGCTGCAGTCATGTACTGCTGTGCTAAGATAGACACAAGTGAGTGCACAAGATAGAGATTCAGATGCTTGAGCACTGGAGTCCGAAATCTTAAGGTGGTCAGCTAACTTGTGTGCGCATCCTTCGCCAGTGCCTGGAAAATAGAATTGCCTTTGGGATGGTAATCTCTAGCTCTTTATATATAGGTCTTAATCCGTAGGTCCTGGTAAAGCACCAGCTGGCACAGCTGTGAATGTCAGTAAAACGAACCCTTGGAGTATGCAGAGCCATCTGCGGCAGCCGAGCACCCTGTAAATGTATCTGGTGTTAGAATGATGTCTCGGGACAGGACCGTGCCGATACGAATTGCACATTTGGATGCTGGCAGGAAGCCCAGGAGCAGAGGGAAAGAATGGGGCTGACCGCGTAGGAATGAAGGAGGAGATGGAACACCAGGGGTACTTCCTGCTACCGATAGCGTGGCAGAGCTGATCACTTTACTAAAACCTCCGCACCCATGTCAATGGCATTACATGGCACAAAGCCAGAGGAGAGAGACAGCCTCCCTCTTGCTACATTTAATGTTCAATTTATGTACAGAGAGAAACTCATCTCACCTCGTCCGCTCTGAGTCCATGACACAGCTCTGGGAACCAGGTGTACAGGGCTGATTCCAAGTACCCAGGGTCGATCAGACTGAGATCTGACAGTGCTGGCACAAGTCTCATAGACCAAGCTCAGCGCCAGCATTCCTGGCTGCAGCAACCCTGACGCTGGGTTCCAAGACTCCTGTCCATGTACGTGGTAGCTGTCCAAAGGGCAGCTGTGGAACGAGTGGAGAGATCAGCGTTGGCTGGTGCTTTTCCTCATCAGCCTCGCCGAGGTGCAGTGAACCAGGGTAAATGGGCTGTAGGGAGAATGAAGGGGATTCAGAGCAGCATTTGCATGCGTCAGGCAAACCCCTAGGATGTGTCTCGCCGGAAAGCTATTTAGCTGCTGCCGTTCAGGGTCATTGGGAAACGTGGCTCCAGCCCCTGGCATCAACCCAAACACCTGAGCCCTCTGAACCAGCCTAGCAGGGCGTGAAATGAAATCCAGTTGCATCACTGGCCCAGTTTTACAGCACTCTGCCCTTTGCTTTAGCTGACAGGGTTCGAAGAGAGGAACATCCCTCTGCACCCAAGCAGAGTGCTCAGCGTCCAGCCCTGAGCAGAACAGCTCAGCTGGGGACCGGCTGCACTGGAGCAGGAGTAATGGACTCCCACGCTGAGAAGCCTCATACTACTGAAACATGGGTGCTAGGACCAATTCTCCTTGTTATTTGGGCGCCCCCTGCTGGATTTTTCCATACCAGAGCTCCCGTCCTATTTAGCAGCATGGGAAGGGCAGGCGGGACATAAACCCCCAGCACATCTTTACAACCCCTAGCTTAGGGCTATTGTTTCAGGCTATGTTCAGACTGCACTGGCCTCGGTTTCTATTCCGGGCGTTCGCCCTGCAACGAGAAATATAGGTTTTAAATGAAATGAAGGTGGCCTAAACCTTGGTGCCGAAGGGGCTTCCCCCAGGCCGCCCCTTGCTGCACTGCAGCACTCTTTGTGCTTGTGCTGCATAGGTTGGCAGAGAGGGGTGTCCTCTGGGGCACAGGCTCTGTTCCAGACGACAGACTGGAGTAACAGCCATGGAGCTGCAGGGTCTATCCCTCTAACCTTAACCTGCTTTCCTCCACCAAAGCCATGGACTCGGGGCTTTCCATTCACCCTCACACTAGTGCAGCTGCATCAGCAGTGACTAATGGGCTCCAATTTGGGACAAGGGAGACAAGGCCATGGAGAGCAAGAGTACATGTGACTGATGCTCCTCTTCCCCGCCCTGCACAGAAGGCAGGGAGGGAGGTTTCCCTTCCTCTTACCTTAGATGACATTCTCTTCCCTTTATTGCAGTGGCGAGCAGCACTGTCATTGTCAGCTTCCTGAAATCAAAACACTTCGGTTTAGGTCTACACTGCAACCAGAGGTGACACTCAGCACTTGTAGATGTACCCAAGCCAGCTTTGACCTAGCTGGCTCAAAAAACTCCTGTGGGACCCTGGGTATGTACTCAAGTGGCAAGCCCATGTGGTCATGGCTTCACTGCTACTATTATTTGAGCTAGGTAGATCAACGCTAGCTCAGGTATGTCTGCACGTGTTGCACTCACACCTCAGGTACGTCTACACATGCTTCAATTACACCTTGCAGTGCAGACGTACTCCGAGCTGTGGAGCGATCCAGTTGGTTGATCCTTCCCAGGAGTTTCATAGCATCGAGACACATTTCTCCAATTATTTTCCAAGAGCCGTACGACAGCTCGGAAAGGATCTCAGCATGGGGCAGCGCCAGCAGGATTCCATCTCTTTCAGACAGATCTGAATTGTATCCTGGGGCCTGATGCTGAACTTAACATCAGTGGGAGACGTGGGTGCTGGACCCTTTAGGAAGTGAGGCTCCCTCACTGCAGAAAACAGCACGCTCTATTGGTCAGGAGGAAAGGCCACTGGCATTGACCGTCAGAATGTCTTTCCTCTCATTGGAGAATCCTTTTCAAACAGAGATGGGTGCCTAGTGCAACTGTTTCCCTAATTATTCCCAAAGTCTTCTTTCTCAGTTGTGTTGCAATTCCTAGAGTAAGGCAATGGGTGATATGTAACTGGCAATAACACAGAACACTTGCCTGTAGAATTGAGATTAGATAAATAAATACAGAAAGTGTCACAGGGGTAGCAATGGTAGTAGAACCTATTTGGCTTAGGAAAATACCTTGTTTATCTTTCCCACCCCAAAATAAGGCAAGAAGCCAGAGTTAACTTCTTATTTAATGTGTATGTTCATAAAGGTACATTTGATTCTTTGTTACACTACTCGTAGCTACATCCAGCACAATACGCAGGAGAACAACACTGTTACAGGTACCATAGAATATGGCATGACAGACAATAAAAATGGAACGAAGGCACATTTTCCACAGTAAAGGCAGACACAAGTGACAAACAAAAATCCATTTATATAAAGTAGATTTATCTTAGTCGTTTAGGACCCAATCCAACTTCCATTGAAGTCAGTGGGAGTCTGAGCACGTCCTGACAAGCCTTTCTAATGTGGGACTACTGAAATCTTATGTTGCACTGCTGAACAGATATCACCTTTAGTATTGGTGTTGTAATCAACACTGAGCTTGACCTGTCTCAGTGCATTTGGTAAGTTTGGATAGCAGATCACACAGCAAAGATGTGAACAGCAAGATGCTGAAAGAGTTTTATTGTAACAGGCAATTAATAATGCTTCCCCTGGAAAATATATTCAGTTGTTTTCTTATACAGAGAAAACACAGCAGTCATTTGAGTTAATAGCTTGCCGGGGCTTGGCTCTCCGGAAGACTTTCAGCATGTAACACAAAGGCAGAGCCGTTCTGGTTGAGCCAAGCTGACATCCAGCTGATCTTGCTACGGGCAGCATTGCATTTAGAAGCCCCTTTCCCTTCCAGGAAAGAACACTCAACTGGGGACACTTGCTTTCTAAACTACTGTGATACCAGGAGCTAGTCCTGCTGTTGCATCAAAAGAGTGGTGAATCACATACCACCTCTTGTTTGTTAAGGAATCAGAACACGAACAGGCCATACAGAACTTGAACAAGTGAAACCAAATGAAATATCAGGGCCTTGCAAAACATCACTGTTAGACTTATTTATGAACTGCATGCCTTCAGCACTGGAGTGTAGGCACTCAGTCTGGGCTACAAAATAGTGTCTCAGACTAATCTGAAGAAGTCTTTAGTGTTCACCAGGAATCCAGGTGGCAGGTTAGTTTTGGATGCCAAGTGCAATATGTCCTATTAGGGAAGGCAGGAGGCCTTTCATCCTTATATGCCAGCATGTAAAAATATAATCAGGGTTTGGAAATACACTATGTGAGCAGCAAGGAAGGCAGGGGAGGAGATCATTGGGGGGTCACTAAAAGGAACAATGAGGCCCAAATCCTCAAAAGTATTTAGGTTCCTAACTTTCTTTGAGCTAGGAGCCTAAACACCTCTGACGATCTGCACTTGAGTGTCTAGTTGACGCCTGGGTGAAGATCTGTTCCCGAGACTCAAACCAGAGCAGGTTGGCAGCAGAATTGTTGGAGTTAGGAAAGTGAGCTCTGAGCAGCTAAAGACTGAGAAGAAAAGCAACAGATCAGCTTCTAGAATTTGGAGCTCAACTAGGAGGATCATTTTTTATCATCAGCATGTAAGATGACCATGGAAATAAAAGAGCCCAGAGCTCTGAGACGCAAAAAAGCAGAAATGTCATTTTAAAAGCACCGTGCATCCTCCTCACGCCTTTCCAGGTGCTGCCATTTGTGGCAGGATACGATTCGCTTTGAGACGTCTCCTAGAAATTAGTGTGAACAAGTCCGTACCTGCGTGAGCAAAGAAAATAAAAAGAGAATTTTAGAATAAATCTCCCGCTGCCGTCAGTTGACACCTTTTGTTTTCATTCCAGTATCTGTCAACATGGAATCCAGGGGTCTAATCCTATCAAATTACAAGGGATAAAAAGAGCTTGCTGCTCTGCTAAGAAATGAGGAAGAGCGGCAGCTCTATCCGATTCAGAGCAGTGGCAGTGGGGAAGTTTTGGGGCTGTCAATTCAGCATCTTCTGCAGGTGCTGGGCCTGATTCTCCAATGCCCTGCACTGTCTGCAATCATTTCCCCCTGCACCAAACGAGTGCAGCGTGGATGTAAACATCACCGTGCTGATTGGTTACACTCCTTGGCCGAGGTACTACAAAGATACAGCTTCAGCTTCTTGGGAGGCAATCGCTTGTCTGCCCTTCCCATAAATCTAGATTAGTTAGTACATTGGGTCATTTTTCTGGGAGAGCCCAGCTTCAGAACCTGGACAGCTCATACACAAGAGAGCGTTCACAGCATCCAGGAAGATTTCACTGACTGCCAGCCAGCAAGCAGTAAGCCAAATTTCAGATGGACCCAACATCCTCAACTTCCGTTATACTTCATCACTTAGGAACCAGAGTAGTCCCCAAGCTACCAGACTAGAGTTCAGACCTTTTACCTGACTTGAGCTAACTGACAAGTTGAACAACTTGGAATTTACTACCTCTAAGGACTAGAGAGACGAAGAGCATGGCTACACTTGCAGATGTAGAGCGCTTTGAGTTAAACCAGCCTTCGTAGAGCGCAGTAGGGAAAATGCTGTAGTCTGTCCACACTGACAGCTGACAGCGCACTGGCGTGGCCACATTTGCGGCACTTGCAGTGGCATTGAAGTGGTGCATTATGGGCAGCTATCCCAGCATGCAAGTGACTGCAACATGCTTTTCAAATGGGAGGGGTGGGGTGGAGTGTGACAGGGAGTATGTGGGGGGGAGAGAGTGGGTTTTGGGGGGCTGAGAGCATGTCAGCATGCTGTCTTGTAAGTTCAGACAGCAGCAGACCCCTCCTCCCCCCCGCCTCACTCTCTCACACACACACAGCATTCCACAGTAACGGCTTGCATGCCGGCTGTCACAAACGGAGCTTTGAAAGGGCATTTCCGCATTCCTACAGGAGATCAAAACAATGACAAGAGTGGCCACTTGATTTAAGGGGATTATTGGACTGATCAGAGCACAGTAACGCAATACCTCGTTCACACTGACGCCCGGGCGTTGTAGCCAAGGCACAGCAAATGTTATTCCTCTCGCCGAGGTGGAGTACCAGCAGCGCTGTAGCCACGGAGTCAGAGCGCTCTACGTGCCATGCCAGTGTGGACGGGGAGTGAGCTAGTGCGCCCGGGGCTGCTTTATTGCGCTGTAACTCGCAAGTGTAGCCAAACCCTAAGCCCTTTCCTCGAACCGTGCAG